TCATTTTCTTGAAAATATTCCTTTACATATGCGTAGAAACATTCATTTTCAACAGGATGGTGCACCCCCCCACAATGCTATAGTGGTAAGGAATCATTTAAATGAAACATTGGAGATAGATGGATCAGCACACACGGACCGATAAGATGGCCTGCAAGATCTCCAGATTTAACACCGCTGGATTTCTTCCTTTGGGGGTATTTGAAAGATTGTGTGTACCAGACTCCTCCTATTGATTCAGAAGATCTAAAAAACAGAATAAGGAATGCCCTTAATGTTGAGGTGTTGAGAAGTGTTACTGCGCGTGAACTACTCCACCAAGCTGAAAGATGTGTAGAAGCAGTTGGTCAACATTTCAAACATATGCTTTAGTTATCATATTCTTGAGCCCCCTTTCTTTGTTATTTTCAAGATTACACAAAATATCGTAGCCTACTGCAATTCTTTCAATTTGAAATTTCAATTTACGTTTTCTCCATCAAATCAAATGTAAAATATAAAGTGTGATACATCGTTACAAAGGTAATTTTGAGTAGAAAGCAAAAATTGCAAAAAATATACAGGGTGCTATTTGAAATAAAAAAGTTAGAGGCACTTCCGGTCAAACCGGAAGTGACTTTAAATTTTTATTTTTTTCAGTTGAAGGTTCCTTGGACGAATTGAAGATCATGAAATTTTCAAATTTTTATCTTTCGAAATAGCTGAGATAATCCGTTGGAACAGGTATACTGGGACACCCGGTATTATCTGATGAATTGATATATTTTTTCGTATTCCTAGTAAATGTTATCGCGTGTTATCAGACGAATTTATTTTAATTCATAAACAAATATTGATTGATACCAAAACTATTTGATTGTAGCTTATTTATTGCAAATTAACATTGCCTACGAGGAAAACAGGTTGAACATAGCTTGCAGCTATTATTTAAACTATGGACTCAGACGGTGAGCATACCAATATCAAAATAAATAGCTACTAATTTATTTCACGATTTTTTTATAGAAACTAATTAATCATTTACTACATTTTTACCAGTATCACTTGATATAAATCACTTTTGAGTGATATGATTAATAAATACCAATAATAGTATAGGTAAAACTACTATGTTCACTAACACACAGATCTCAATATGGAGGTGCATCCAGCTGTCTAGTTTTCTCCCTTCAGTTCTACACATTCTTTTTCACTTTGTCACTGTTTCTCGCTGTTTTGACACAACATCCAACAATCAGACATGAAACTCTATATGACAGTACCTTGGATATTGACTATTAGAATCCGTCTTTTCGAACTCGTAAGTCTTAGATTATTTAGATGATGAAATGAAAATATCAAATATCTAAATCTAATATCAGGTGGGCAGTGGGCACTTCGAAGGCGCAAATTCATTACTGCATGTGAGATACCCTTCAGATTTTTAGCTATTCAGTGACCTGACCACGAATGACATCCCGGAAACGGCAGCCATTTGGAGATCTATTGTCGTCACTCTATTCAATCTACTGACTCTAGAATGGGGAAGCTTCCTTGAGATGAATTTTCATAAAATAAGTTCGGAACTCTCCAGTTTTATGTCCACGCTGTACAAAATGGCGACCGATGAATTACAAGTCGTTTTCATTTTCAAATTATAGCAATTTCTAATTATCGGGGCGGCAAACTTTGTCGTACTTTCTGAATCTAGTCTGAAAATAGCTGATGGTGAAGAATATAGCTAGCGAATAGCTAACGAATGAAAAGAATAGAAGAAGAAGTAAAACTGGTCAACAAAAACATACATAACCACAAATGGGGTAGTTGGCTTCATTCTGACAGGTTATGGTTTTGTTATTTATGCATTGAAATATCTGGAAAAGAGCTCGATCCTAAACGAAAATATCATTGAATCAATGAATCACTAACGGCTACATTCAAGATACAATCCTTCCTAATTTACTGCCATCGGTCAGAACAGAATGAAGCTTTCCTCTTGTTGTGCCTGTCGGTATTTTCAGTGGTGTGGACGGACTCGAAGTATTAGGCGCTGTTGCATGATATAATCTGTAACTCTCCTAGAAAATAGATCAGTTTCATTAAGGAACGAATTCATTAGTGAAAAGTTTATAGATACCATCGCAAAATATCATAATTTATCTTTATTAGTAATCAACTTCATTCAGCCAATGAGAGATTTATGGGAATTATTCATAATACTTGACAAAGTAGGATTGAAGAACTCATTTTATCCCATTGCTGTTGATATAGTTATCATGCATTCAAAGAACAATTTTCGGAAATCTAGACATATTGATGATGTCGGCAACGTCGTACTGGCACAGGGGATCGTATTTTAACTCTGAGTGAATGTGGATTTTCAGAAAGTAAGTCATAGGAATGGTGGAGGAGCCAAGTTCCTCTTTTATTTATTTTTTCTGAAGTGAAATTTGATCTTACGAAAAAAAGAAAAAAATACGTATACAGTGTGACCCACTTGAAAGCGGGACACCTCAATAAAATTTGTATTAATCCACCGATTTCGACGAACTTTTTTTTTGAATTGTAGAGTTCGAAAAACTGTACTTTAGGACGAAACATATTTATATTTCTACAAAATCCAAGGCCTACTGCGTTTATTTTTAGAGTATAAAAATCAAGAAATCGTATAAGCGAATTTTTTACGAAAAATTTAAAATCACCATTGAGCACCGCCTCGAATGGTTGTATACCAAATTTTATGAAAAAATATTCGATGTTAATATTTTTGTGGCCAAATCAAAAATCGAGTTTGTATTATAAGTTAATTCGAGTATATGATGAAATGAAATCATTGATGATTATGTGGCAAATGAGAGAAATGAATGAACCATATTTATTCGGATCAAGTGACCCATGGAAAGAATGAAACAATTAAAAACAATAACTATAATAGCTAGAGATACGAATGAACGTTCATCAAATTCTTGTTGTTTCAACCAATCCGCCATTCACTGCAATGCATTCATCACATCTTCTTCAATTTAACTTTTTTCTCAGTTCTAGCGTGATTTCTTCACAAGCTGCAGTTATTCTGATACGAAGTTCTTCTACTGACTGCGGTCTAGACTTATAAACTTTTTGTTCCACAATACCCCAAAGAAAAAAATCCAATGTTGTCAGGTCCGGGGATCTTGGCGGCCAGTGAATGAATGGACTATTACGACCAATCCACCGATTTCTGTAATTATCATCCAGCCATTCTCTCACCAATCCTGCGTTATGTACAGGAGAGCCATCTAATTGAAATTTCAAATTCAGGCGATCATGTACTGGTGAATTATGTATTGCGTCCCAGAACTCATTGCTTGAAAAGTCCAAAAATATATTTCAATTCAGATTACAAAAAAGGGCCGATAATCTTATGGAGTATTCCACACCACACATTTATTTTATAAGAATACTGTCTTTTTGCATTGATAACCCAATTAGGATTATCTGTAGACCAATACCTTGAATTTTGGGACGACACAACTCCGTTTGTATTCGTAGCTTCGTCACTGAACAAAATTTCGTTCAAGAAGTTATTATCATTCAGATATTCTCCGTGAGCCCAAAATTCTAATCTTCGTTCTTCATCTCCCAGTTCCAGAGTATGTAAAACTTTTGGCTTGAATGATTTTATTTTATTCCTTACAAGGCATCTCCTGACATTTTCTCTACGAATATCCAAGTCCAGACTAGCCGTTCGCAAGCTTTGAATGAGGATTATTCCGAAAATATTGCAATACTCGCGTATTCCTACTCACGACGTGGATCGTTTCTGTTTTTGAGCATTAATGCCCCGATGCACTACCTGTTTCATTGAAAACAGCATTAATACGATTAACAGTACTGCTACTCACTGGAAGTTTATCAGGATGTCTGTTATGAAATTCTCTGGCAGCTTCTCTTGCTGAAAGAGCATTATCTCCGACAAGACGCACAAGTTCTCCCGTAATAATCAATCACTGATTTTCACTAAATATTCCTCTAAATAATCGGGCAAAATCTGACGCTACTAATATTTCAGCACACTTTGTGACAGCGGCAATAAAAATCAACAATCGTCTTTTGTTTCTCCCGCACAGTCAGGAACCATATACGTATTAATAAACAATACGGATCATAACGGGTGCCAGGATGAAGCCAAAAATATGAAACAAATGAATATCCATAAGGATTTGGTGGCATGATACGCATGCGCCATGCGCTATTATAGTAGTCATCAAAGACATGCGTTTCGGTGGACAATGACGTTCACTAGCCTTTCAATCAAAGCAGTATGTGTCTGATCGTTACAAAACTTTTCCTTATGGATAGTCTTTTGTCTTCAAAAATCGGCTTCATGTTTCGCTATGGAAACAGATAGAGATTATCCGTATTGATTATTAATACGTATATGTCAGGAACACGCGATTTCGCATATTCGCGCATGTACATAGCCAACTCACCAAGATTTGATAACCAAGGTATACAGTGAATACCTACATGTGCAATATGAATTCTGATTTGGCCACAAAATTATGAATATCGAATATTTTTTCATGAAATATGGTATACAACCATTTGAGGGGGGTGCTGAATTCAATGGTAATTTTAAATTTTTCGTAAAAAAATCGCTAATAAGGTTTCTTGATTTTTATCCTCTAAAAATAAACGCAGTAGGCCTTGGATTTTGTGGAAATATAAATATGTTTCATCCTGTACAGTTTTTCGAACTCTACAATTCAAAAAGAGGTTCGTCGAAATCGGTGGATTCATACAAATTTCATTGAGGTCTCCCGCTTTCAAGTGGGTCACACTGTATATTAATTTTTACAAACTTCACAGTGAGATGGAAACCTCAATATAGGAAACTTCCCCATTGCCGTAGTTCCGCCGGGATATTGCCGTTCACACCTGCGCGTCTTCGCCGTCACGTCTCGCTCAGTACATTGTCGCCAGTTACAGGGTTGCCGCCTTGCCCAAATTTTCCCCACTAACAATATATTCTCTCGAAGGTCGAAGACCCCCGAAGTCGATCCACAAAGACGACGACCCTCCCATACCGAACGGCAACGCCGACCATATCGACCATCCCGACGCCTCCCACGACTCTCTTTCCGAGACCGATGGCGAGAAGCCGCGCGTGCGCGAATGGGAGCGCCACAAGGCGCCGTGGCTGGAGGAGATGAAGATAAGCCAGGCGAAGAGGACGTCTACGTCACCGGGGGCGGAGCATCGACTCAAGTTGACGCCCACATCGGATGTGGGCGTGGAAGGGGAGGAGCATGAGGAGGAGGAGGGGAATAAGGCGTCTCCTAATGATAGAGAGGTATGTGTACTCGTTTGTTGCTTAGACTAGTGATGAATATGAATCCAATACATGGTGTTCGAAGACTCATCCGAGTAGGTACTCAGTATTTGAGTACAAAGAGTAAACGACTATAATCTACATATATTAGAAACTATTATTTTAATAATACCAACTCAGTTCTTGGACCTATATTATTCGTAATATATACGTCGCAGTTTCCTAAGTGCCTATTGCACACCAAAATCCACAGCTATGCCGACGACACTCAAGATCTACAAACAATTTCCGGAAGCTCTCCTGAAAGACGCATGCCAGCAAATTAATGAAGATCTGAACTCACTTCTCGTTACCTCTAAAAAATGTTGCCTCACAATCAATCCTTCCAAAATGGTTGTCATGCTTTTTGGTCGAAAATCTATGAGAATAAGACGCGAAAAGGAGGTAGATATCCACCTGGACAATAAAACTCTCTCCCTGACAGAATGTTCTGAAAACCTAGGCCTCATAATTGATGAGTCAATCAGGTTTTCGCCCCATGTTTCTTGAATTCTGAAACGAGGGTACTGTAATTCTGAAACGAGGGTACTGTAACTTGAAAAAAATTTACTCTAACTTTCTTGAATAAACTAAGAAACTTCTTTGTGATGCCCTGGTACTATGCCATGCTAATTATGCAGATACCGTATATGGTCCTAACCTACTTCAATCTGACAAAAGAAGACTACAGACCTTACAGAACTCATAACAGGGACTAGCAGGGGACAATCTGTTTCCCACCATATGAGCAATCTGAACTGGCTGAGTATGGAGTCACGACGGATATTTCATTCATGCACTCTATTCCATAAAATAATAACCACAAAGATTCCTAGCTATCTTCATGATGAGATAAGCTTTGGAACTGACATTCACAACTTGAATCTAAGATTCAAAAACCAACTCTCTACCCCATTCTATAACACCACTCTCTATCGCGGATCATTTACCTACAATATTACCCGGCTGTATAATCGACTCCCTAATACGATGAAATCACTTTCACTGCCTAACTTCAGAAAACAATTGTTATCTGACTTACTTGGTTTCAGATTGCCTCGAATTTTGAATTGAGTGTTTTCTTTTGTTTTTCATAATTTTTTGCATTGTTTTTATTATTCCCCCCTATCATAATTTGGATATGTATTAGTTATTACAAACATGTTAGTTAATTTGATTGCACGAATTTATTGTATTCAGGTTGAATGGAAGAGCAGGATCTAATTGCGTTACTCACGTGACAAGGTTAAATCCTGAATTCTGCCTTTTGATAGGAATGTACGTTAGTTTAAAATGTCTTTTTTTAGAAAGATTGATTCAGTATCAAAAGTTCAAAATATTCGATAATTTTCATAAATATACAAACTAACTGATGAAAAACGTCCATATAGCCATAGCGATGCTATTCACTATCCGCTTTTGAATAACACAAACGCGAATGAAATTACTCATCAAATCTTATGAGTAGGTATGAAAGCGACTAAATATGTTTTTGTCAGATGGCATTATATTTATTTATTTATTAACTGGGCAGAGGCAGAGCCTATCATGCCCAGAAGTATAAATTTACAGTACAGTACAAAGTGAGTGATATTATAAAAACATAAGAATCGAAAATATCGACAATGAGGGAAATCTACACAATAGGTACAGTCAGAAATTAGAACACTGGAACGCGTCGAAACCATTCTTGAAACTGTTCATGCTTGGAGCTATCACAATGGCCTCTGGGAGCGAATTCCATAACCTAAATACCTGGCGAAAAAACGTACGAAGGGGGTAGTGACATGGTAAAAACAAAACAAAAATCGAGCTCGTCAGATATTGAGAAGGGATGTTAAGTGATCCCTCAAGTAGCTCCTATTCAAGAGACTGGCGTTTTGGACGCGACCAAAAGTTATTATTATACAGACGCTTCATCTCAATGTCCTTGTTGTATTTGAGTGTAATTTCCTTAATCGGACGGTTGGATTTTTTAAAACAAGCTAACATAACTCGGCTGAATGAACATTATTCCTAGAAAGTATATTTTTCGAAAAATCACTTGAGGAACCAAAGAGACTAACAATCTAACTTAAAACTCACCCTAAATGAACCTTCCTAAAAATATATTCTTCGGAAAATTACCACAGCAGAAACAATAGTATGGATTCTAAGGCAGCTGTAGAAAGCCATAAATTGCAGTGTTCTACACCTGCCTTAGATCTATACCAAGAAATGAATCTATATTTTCCAAAAACTAACAAAAGATAAATTCAATAAAGTATATATATTTGAGTTAGGAAGAAAGAGCTCTACCGTTTGGAAAAATAAAATACATGGTGTTTCTTTAGAAAAATAACAGTTTATGCAGAAATTTCATGTTAACGATGCTTTTTTCCATTTTGTAGTAATATATTCTGAATGTTCATAAAACATTCTTCATCTTTGCCTGTTTGAACGTTCCTGTAAGACCAAAATTATGTGATATAGCTACTGGGTAAAATATAAAAAACCACCCTATACCTACCTAGTTGGTTTAAATTTTCAATGTTCTCATTCATAGTGGTTACTTTTATTTATAACTGTACTCAATTCAAATTACTCTGCTTTGTATTGACAGATCGACGTACATCTCGACATGATATTTGCAATAATCGTTTCCAGAAAAACTAACCGAAAGCCATTTTCCGTACAAAATGTGCGAGGTCCAATAATATTTCGAAAATGACATTAATTATCTCAGTCATCTGTGTTTTTATTATTGATCCACAACATTCACATATCCATTTTTTCTTTAGCGAAATTGAGTGTATGCAGCTAAAGGATTTCTCGTCCTTATTCAACTGTGAAATGCTGACATGCGCGTCTCTCTGAGAGATGCAAATATATTGTCCTTTTCATTTAATGTTAGCGTATTTTTCAGACATTGTTAATATTGGCAATTAAATTTGTAATTGCAATTATTTTTCAGACATTGTTAATATTGGCAATTAAATTTGTAATTGCAATAACTAAAACTGCGATTTATAACTCATACAACACTTCATTTCATTTATCTCTCCAATTTTGGAATCACCCTGGCGTAGATATCTTCATTTATATGACAAATTACTAAAATTATTGTTTATGCCGAAGAAATAACCAGGAAATACTTCATCTGTAAAATATTGCACAAAAAAATACTCATTTCTAAAAGAAACCTTCAATGAAAAAATCCTTAGGTCTCCATCTCGATTTCAAAATTCGCAATGTTCGACAGGTGGACATGTCTAAATCCATGCCGTCCATGGACCTCTCGAAAGCCTTCGTCCCCAAACCTAAAACCCCTCCAGAGGAACCCGAAAAGGTACCCATGCTGCGCACAAAACCCGCCATACCGACAGTCATAACCAACCGACATTCGGTGATTGGCACCGCCAAAGAACTGTCATCCGTCAGTTCCGTCAAAGAACTGTCATCTGTCAGTTCCATCAAAGAACTGTCATCTGTCAGTTCTGTCACCACCAGGCACACAGCGAATGTGGCCAGCAAAGAGACAATTGTCGTTCGACAGACCGTCACAACACCTCCTAAAACCTCTCCCTCTGTCGCCTCAAAACTCCCTCCGGCTGTCATTCTTGAGAAAGAGGTGACCAGCGAAGACCTGCCGGATGTGGTAGCGCGAAAGGAGTACTTGGACGTGTTGGAAAGGTTGAGGAAACTTGAGGTGACAGTGGAGAGGCAGAGTCAGGCCATTGAGGAGTTGAGGAATAGGTTGCAGGTGGAGACTGATATGAGGATGTTGCTGCAAGAGAAGGTGGTGCAGAATGTGCAGGTTTGAGGTGGTGTCGTCTCGTTAGTTGATGTCACCGTTCTTGGCGTCTACGGCCAGAGCTATGTTACCGTCCACCTGGTTTTGTCATAATGGACGGTGATGTCTATGATGCGATGATGACATTGAATGAGAGAGAGATAATATCGTATTTCAGGTAGAATCCTTCATTATTTACGTTAACAAGATGAATCATCTTTAAGAGAGCAATGAAGCCAGTAATTCTATTCGGTAGGGGGCGGTATGTATTAAGGTCACTGGATGGTATTATTTAGATAAGAGTTCGGACACAGCTGAACTTCTGTCATTTTCTATTTTATAATGGTTTGAGTGAATAAAAGATTAAGACATATATTCTGCTCATTGTCTTTTCAATTTCCCTAGTAGCGCCTGATTGTCAGATACGATTTTAGAGGTTAGATTTTCTGTCAAATCAATCATTGTCGTAGATGGAACATAGAAATACATAGTGATACACTTTTCGCCGAACCATAGTTATAAAAATGAAAAGAATTCATGTAACAACATTTTAATATCACAAAAAAGACATATGGATATACTTATAGCTAGTTCCATATTGTATGTAAAACTGTACCCGAGTGATAAAGTTATAACATGAAGATTGTTTTGATTTTCCACCTGGTGCTGCATTTACTTTTTACTGATAATTCTTGAATTAAGTCGGTATTGAAAACGCCATTAAATGATATTATATCACGTTGCAATTTACTTGATTTCCTCAGTTTCGTTTTATCAAATTTTCAATTCAATAGTTTCGCAATCAATTCCTCTAACATGTTTCGCATTTCGTGTGATCATAATATTGGAGTTTTGGGCCTAAAATATAGTTTTATTCAAATCTGCTGTTATAAGAAGTGAATTGATACGTATTTCCTTTGGAGAATCAAAGCAATGAAATCGCCATTCTCTTCAGAATTCCCGCAATTCATTACATAGCAGGACATTTCCATTTGTGCTTTTTCTCTCAAATCAAATCTGAAATTTATTGTCAAATTCAAACAATTTTGAATGAAAAAGCGTAGAACGACTATGATGCTGTTGTCACAATGCAAGGTGTATAACTTGATAAATCTGAACATTCAAAAACACTAAGAATTGTCATTTCTGTGTCCGAGCTCTTATCTAACTAATACTAGAGTTCCTAAATGTACTTGACACTGCTGATTTTGACGTTTATTGTATATCAGAGTACGGAAACTATGACAAGCACTGACAATCAGACATAACCACAAATAAATTGATGGAAAAAGCGGGAACTGACAGTACACGGACGTACATGACATAAATATCGAAGGTTTGACAAATTGAGAAAATTAGGAGAATGATGCGAGTTTGTGCAGTTTCCAACTGTGAGAATACGGAAATCAATTCACTCTATACGAATTTCCATCGGATAACGTAATTCTACAAAAATGGAAACAGAATATGATGCAGTCGGCATGGAATATAGGTTCAGGCCACAAAATTTGCGAGGTATTTGAATTTCTTGATAGGAAGTTGAAGAGCCGAACTCACAATCTATAAACTGAGCGAGTATCGAAAAGAACCTTATTCCAATTTAGACTCTGGTTATTGCTTGTGATGGAATGATGGAGCAGAGAACACAATAGCCTCCATGGAGATCATGGTCGATAATCTGATGATGAAATAGCAGCAACTTCCTGAATTGACTGACTCAAACTGATTTCACATCCCTGTTCAACCAAGAATTCTTCAGATCATCTTCGTATACGAACTCTTATAATAATTTTGTGAAAACATATAGTCACTTTGTGGAACTCTGATGTACCAGATATTGATGTATCTTTATCAAAGAGTTGAATATATTGTTCGTGTATCACTTCTTCAAAGTTGAAATCCCAAGTCTGAATGTGCATGTTCATGCGTAGTTGAGAAGTGCTAGACGACTACATAGCTCCTAGTGGATTTTGAACCACTTCTTGGGTACCAAGATATGAGCAAGATATTATCAAAGCACAGAACAAGAACGCTTAACAATTGCACCATTTATGTTAGGTATTGAAAATGATATTCCGATGGCCGGGTACAACCAACAATCCCCTTTAGCAATGTGAACGGCGATCTATAGTGAGTCGAGCGCTGTGAAGATGCGAGGATCCTTTATCTAAGCGAAAAACATATTCTTGTCCTTGTCTGGCAAAACATATGATTTGCTTCAAAATCGTTTGTGGTTATGTTTAATTGTCACTGCTTGTCTAGTGTCCGTACTCTAATATACAAAAAACGTCAAATCAGCAGTGCCAAGTACATTTAGGAACTCTAACTAATACCATCCAGTGACTCTAGTATGTATGAGCGACAAGTTAAACAACTTTTTGTTGAGTACCTACCGAAGGGTAGAGATCGGTAAGGCAGAAAACATCCGAAGTTCATTTTTAGATGTTTTTAGGCAACAAGGAATGTCGCATCAGGGCTGGATTAAAATATTTTAATTATTTGAAAGTCGGAAAATCAAAGTTGGTGATTTTCCTGCTTCAGAACGAAGGATATTCCTAGATAGTTCAGCAACTTTCAACTTGAGAGTATTAACAAATCTGCCAAATTTTGCTGAGTTTTGCTAGCGCCCCCATAAACCAGCCAAGAACTAAGGCCGGATTTAGCTTCAACATTTTACATGGAGGTGGATAATCAAGGGTACAAGCCAAGAACGGTGACATGAACATTTAATATTTATTTTCACAATTGTCGAATGCCATATAAACTCCCTAGGTGCATGGTCTCTTTCAGCAAAGCCCTGCTCAATTTTCATTCTGTTTTCTGAGATTGTGAGACATGAGTGACTTTTTCGGTGATTTCTTGATTACTAATCCAGGTAGAGTTATGAGATGAGGCAGCATTGCTCTTTGCTTCTTTTAATATTTGAAAACAAAATTCATCTGCCATGAAAATTTATTGAATTGTTTCTGATAGTCAATTATTGTTCGAAAAAATCTGAACAAAAATCAAGATAGCTCTCTAAAACACGCGATATATTCTCAAGTACTGCTAATTTTATTCACTTAGACACGATAGCTTTTTTTGCCGTAGTTAACTTGACATTTCAATGATAAATTTGTTTGCAGGACGAGTAATTTTTTCTGGCAGTTTTTTTAGTTTAATTTCCTAAAGGCAACAAAACTCGAATTATAAATGTTAAGTTTACTACGAGCCAAAGAAATGCTTGAGTGTAATTCCGTAAGACAATTTAATGAATGCGTAAATCACATTAAGGCGGATTTATTCACGCCTCTTTTTCATTAATCTCTAGTTTCACAATCATCAACGATTCTGCTAATGAGTTGAAACTTGGTATTTCCGTTTAATCATATCTTTCATCAACTATTCGCTAAAAGATGACCAACTTATATCTCTTAACGACAAATACAAGTAAAAGTGTGACTTGCGCAGGCGCGATTCTGTCAGAAGTCAGACATACAATGTCTACTTCTTATTTTCTCGAAATGTGGTTGAAAATTCACAAAATTCTAGTAGTCTGTTCAAATTCGACTTTGGAAACAATATAAACAAATTAGCGTTATTTTAATAATGTGAGCAGTGGAGGTTAGAACACCAATATTTTCATCGGGCTAAGTACGCTGAGGACTATGTTCGGATCATGAAGAAGAGTTTAAAGTTGAAAAAAGGAAGTGCATAAAGGCATCAAAGTCCTTAAATAGAAATGAATTTGCGGGCATTCTACTTCCGACCACGGTAAAAGACAGGCGGCGTATTCAGGTCGGAAGTCATGTCAATGTTTTTGTGATTGTGAGTTTGAAACGCTAAAAGAGCACAATACCTGGTGTCACTTCGAGTGAGACATCCAGGGTGCTCGAAACACAAAATCCTCATTATTTACGCCGGTATCCAGGCCGGATGGGGACGGATTCTCCGTAATAAGGACTGGCTGTATGTCGTAAGAATGATGGAAGTAAGATATGGTGCGCGTATTCGACCATTATTACGTATTGAAAATTTCAGAAAAATCACTCGACCGCCTACTATGATTTCTCTACGTCACAACGAGCGAGACGTTGATTCTACATTTTCCCGCTAGATGGTTATGCTGCTATTGCAGCTGTGACGAGTGGAAATAAAATGGCAAATGGCATTTTAGGTACGCGGAACATATGTAATTTGAAAAATCTGCGACAATTTCAAAACTGACAGATGTCACAATTGTGCAATGTCGCCATCTATTAGAAGATCGACGGACCCATTGCTTTCGCTGTTCTCGAGAGGTCGAGTAAAATTTCTGAAACAAAAGCGCATCAGTAATTACACCATATCTTCCTTCCATCAATGTCGTAAGACAGGAGGCCATATTTAGAGAGAGACAGAGAGAGAGAAACATGAATTTAATGACAGTTAATGAAAGCAACAGATTAATGAAAAAGCGGTGGGCATAAATTCACCTTCATTGATGATGGATTTTCAATTTTTAGACTCCAAATCGCTACATTCCCACAAATACCGTCCTTCACATTGCTGTTGAGTTTTATACAAGATGATCGGGAAGTATCTTAGACTACAAAAATGTTAACAGTGCTGTTGAGTGAGATGAAAAAATTGTCATGATTAGGATTGTTCCTATGCTTTCCTCTATTTAGAAGTTGGAAAATTATACAGTGACCCTATGAAGTACTCCACTTTTTGCTGATTTTCGAACCTTAAAACTCAAAACACTCGAATTGGGTGAATGTACAATTTTCTATCTGAGGATTTCAATGATGAAATACAAAAAAAATTGAAGAAAAAATGATGAGTATGAATATTTTAAATCATCTTCATGAAATGCACGTCAGCGATTATGATAAGAGTTTGTATGGCATTCAATTACTAGATTGTATGAATGTAAAGAATTGTACATTTTATAACACAGCCATTGCTATTTTATATAATTTTTTTTACAATTTAAGCCTAATTTTATATGATAGAAGCTGATAAATAGAAAATTCTATATAAAAAATATAATATCAAGCTTTGCTCAT